TACACAAACGGCGACACCTCAGAAGACCAACCCATAATCTTCGACAACGAAGGTTATGACGAAACACTCCATCTACTGCAGATGCTACGATGGGAGATGCGACTACGCCTGACCTGAGGCGGCGGTCACTACAGATTCCAGTGACCAAGGAAGTCCCTCAAACCTACAACGAGTCCAACTACCGCTTCAATCACTCCACGCCTGGCAACATGGCTTACTACAACCCGGCAACTGTCATGGATCAACTACACATCACGGAGTACCAGACAACCACTACTCCACCACTGCCTGACAGCACACCCTACACTCAATTTTTCACTGCACTTACACTGGAAGAGTATCAACTACTCTCACAACAACAAGCAACTTTCACAACTGGACTACACACGACCCATTCACTGCATCCCTGGAGACCTCCGGATGCCCCACTACAATTCGACACTGCTCAGCGTTTCACTACCTGAAGCAGCCAACGTCCACTACTACCATACGACTTCACTCCACACTACGACTTAACAACGTCATCATCCAACTACAGATTGGACAACAACTACTCCTGAGGTGTCTCACTTCAGGACAATTTCTCCACCTCGCCAGAGACTACATTTCCTACATGATGTCAGTACAACAGAACTACTACCTCCCAACTACACAACATCCACAGACCATCTACAAGGTGGACTACGACATGACTACCTTCACCGACAACTACAGCCTGAGGAATAACTACATTTGGAACTATCACATGCCGCTACTTCTACCGGAACTACTCCACTACCTCTACAACCGCGACCAACTCCACGACTTTCAACACAAGGCAATTACTACCATCCTCTGCAAAAGCATCCAGTACTATGGCTTTACACTACTCACCATGACCAACCTTGCCCAACACCACAAGGCATTACTACATCGTTTCCTTAGGGGTTACGACCAACATATGTCGTGCCCCTGAGATAGACGATGAGAAACTACGAGGCGCTCCAAACTACATGACAACCTTTTTCACCACCCACTACTGCGCGACCTTGGACAGTCGACTGCAGATGGTCCAAGCCTACCGCGCCCAGAACTGGGCACTACATGCTTGAGCTCCTGCTCTACCCAGGACCAGTTGTTGTCGTAGTGCGCCTGACTGTGCCAGTCATCTGTCTGGCCATTGGTATGGAGGGTTCCCGGGTCGCAGTTGTAGATCGCCACTCTGCATTGTTTAGCCATGTGTCCTGGCTGTCCACATCTGTAGGAAGCGTTCGTTGCATGCTTTCCTTTTGCTCCCCTTGTTGGTTGTTGTAGTATCCTTTGCCTTTTCCGTTGTTGCTGTATCCTTTTCCTTTGCCATACCCTTGTTATCCTTTGACAGGGTTTCCTTGTCCAACCGGTTGCTGATTGCACTTGCCTTTTCCTCCTTAGCACGCGCTGAAAACACTGCAAATACCTGCATTTTCTTGGCCCGGGCGCCGAAAAATCGCAAATAGCAGTGTTTTTTTGCGTCACTCGCGCGCGCGCACGGTTGCGAAATGGTAAGCACGCCCGCTCACGTGCGCCCGCAGGGCGCTGCCCACACCTGCCAAATGGTAAGCACACCTGCTCACGTGCACCCGCAGAGCGCTGCGCGCACACCTGCCAAATGGCAAGCACACCCGCTCACGTGCACCCGCACAGCGCTGCGCACACGCCTGCCAAATGGTAAGCACACCCGCTCACGTGCACCCGCGCAGCGTTGCGCGCACGCCTGCTCAGATGGTAAGCCGCGCCCACTCACGTGCACCCGCACAGCGCTGCGCCATGGTAAGTGCACCTGCCCACGCGCGCCAGCACAGCGCTGCGCACACGCCTGCCAAGTGGTAAGCACACCCGCTCACGCGCACCCTCACAGCGCTGCGCACACGCCTGCCAAATATTCAAGCGGTCTAGTTTGGATAGGATCGGAGTGAAGCCCTTTGAGACTTTTGACCAGGAACAACCTTGGGACATACTATGAGCAGCCGAGGAGCAAGATGGATGAAAACATGTGATGCGCCACGCTGTTGGTGGGACACGGAAACGCCTTTTGTTGGGGAAGAGCAATCCTTTTGTTTGTCACAAAGTGTGGCAAAACGCATGTGCTTTGCATTGACAAAAAGCTACGTTTGATGAGTGGGACAGCCACAGCGCTATTTGCGGTGTGTTTTTAAAGATTTGCTAGCTTGTCTCTTGATGGCCGTGGCGTTATGTCGGCTTGTGGCGTTGTTGTTCCTGTAGCTGTTGCACCCTTTGCCCTTGTTGCGCTTCCCTTTGCCCTTGCGCTTGCCCTTCTTTCCTTTGCCTTGCACCATGTTGCTCCTATGTCCATCGGTGCCGGTCCTTGGTTGTTGTTGCCTGACGCAATTGCTTGCAGCCTGGTGAGTGATGCTGTTGCTCTGTAGTACTCGATCACCATCGATCTGATATGCGCATATGCTGCGATGTTTCCTGCTTGAAGCTGTAGGTGTTGTTGTAGTGGTTCTTTTGCTTCGTTGAGCAGTATTGCAATCTTGACTGCATCCTGTAGTAGTGCGTTGTTGTCTTGCTCATACTTGGAGAGTTGGAACTCCCATGTCGCGAAGCTCTCTTCGAACTTCTGCTCATCCAGTTGTGGCTTTAGTTGTCGTGTAAGCTAACCAACGCTTCTTGTACCAAGAGGTATGGAGTAGCTGGCATGGATCAGTCGCCATGTCTCGGAACCGTCGCCTTGCATGCTTTGTCTGCATGTTGTAGACGCTGGTCCATCGCGTGCGCTCACCAAGAGGTAGTGTAGGTTGTTGCTCAGTTCTATCCAATGCTCTGCCATCCGTTGTGAAGGTGCTGCATTCTCCAGTTGGTCGTTTGTAACTTGTCCTACTGATTGCTCTGACTGTCTCAGCAGTCTGTTGCTTGCTGGGTCTTGCAGTCCCAAGTATGCTGTCATATGGTAATCGAAGGTGTTGTGTTCTCCTGTGAACCGTGGTGGTGATATCTTGTACTTGTGGGTTCCTGCCAGCTGCTGCTCTGTTGCTGTTGCTGTTGTTGTTGTTGTGCCATGTTGGTGTACCAGGGATCACTGCTCCGCTACCATGTTAAAGTCAGACTGCACTGTGCAACCCTGTTGTAGCGTGAATGAGTTAACCTGTGATGTGAACGACTCGGCACAGTTGTAACCTGTTGTATCTCGAACGTGGGCTAGGCTCCAGGCCTTGTACTAGACATGTAGCGGTTGCCACATGTACTGCAAGCTGTACATCGGTGGTGTATCTTAACAGATGTGTATATAAATATATACATATACATATATACATATGTAGATTTATATGTGTAACCCGACCATTTCGTGGAGCAAAACGCAGAGCAGCGCCTTTGCTTGACCCGCAACACGGGCAAAGAGCTTCACGACTCAGATCCTCGCTGGAGAAAGAGAACGACGCCGAGGAAGAAGAATGCTCATCAGAGAGTTCGTGTAGTACGTGAGTCGAGACAACCCTGGATCTGGTGTCTGAGAAGAAGGCAACGACATGGAGAGCGAGCCGGAGAGCAGCGGTAAGGAGAAGGAGATGGAGGCGAACCATCAGATCATCAGCCGTGTCCATGGCCAAAATACGTCCTATATCCGAACAGAGACCAAGCTGGAAGCCCACACCAGTGATCCATGTAGCACAGGACCCTGTCCCCACAAATCTGCGTGAGCGCGCTTTCACGATGGCACTCAACGCAGCTCCTTTTGATCAAAGACTTGCCCTTCACCATCAACATTCGCCCTCTGATAAGATGTAAGGTGTCACATGGAACAACTCTCAGACTCTGCGAACGCAATGCAGTAGGCAGTGCTTCACTGATCCTATGGAGAGTCGAGAGACTGAGCCATGTTGACACAAGCACTTCGCCACAAATGAGTTCGATGCGGATGCTGCAAAGAGAAGAGTCATGCGAGCTATAGTATCCCCTCATCGATCTGCGAGGAGAACATGTATTTCTTGATGGCCGTTTTCCCGAAACGAGGTTTGAGCTGGCATTCGCATTTCCAGATACGATGGTCATATGTGAACGCAAGGAAAGAGATGAGATCGTTCTGTCACGTCGTTGGATCAGCAGCTAAGAGTTCTGAAGCAGGATGATGCCAGGGCAAATGGGGAGATCGGAAGACAAGACCCATCCCGAGTCGCTCCAATTAACAAGGATTTCCAGAATACTATGAGCATGATGCACCATCTGAGCCATTCTCAGAACAGACCTTTATTTCCTTCACTTCATGGCCCTTGCCAATTCAGACAAAGAGCTGATCAAGATTCTTGCGCCCGCTTCCTGGGGAAAGTTCATGAGGGCATGAGTACAATAGTCTTGGTAGAGACATCACGGAACTACAGGGCAATGTGAAACAGCCCTTCTGTGAACATCTCATGTAACAACATGACGCGCTGACATTGTTGATGCACATGCTCAGCGTGTACAACTCCACTACCAAAGAAAAAACAAGCGGGCCTACGACAGCTATGAGAAGTCAAGCTTCACATCTGTGAGCGCTCTCGCATTATTTTCCTGGACATCCTCAAGTGCGACAGCTGGGCCAACGGTTTCTGCTGTGACTACAAAATCTAGAGCAACTTGGACAAGCCAAGCGACAAAAAATGACACGTCATGGGACACACCGGATTGCAGATCCATCACCCCTGCGCATCAGAATGCCGTGTTGAGCCATCTGGACACATCGGGCAACACATCCTGGACACACGCATGCGTCTTTGATTAACATGACTGATACCTGTGGGTACAGGATCCGGAGGCAAGGGATATCGTTGTACAGCTACATCCGGGCAGGTAAAGGATCGATCTTAGCTTGTTGTACATTGCAAAGGTACAACATGTTGCGGAGGCATATTCAAGTACAACTGTACAACATGTGCTGATTTGCCTGCGCTGACAAGGCCTTGAGCCTACCAAAAAGATGCCTTTGTACTGATTTATCGTATGACAAACTGCATTTTTGTATGACCGAAACCTGAGGCCCCAGCGAACCGCGGGAGGTTTTGTGGAGCTGGAGCTTCGGCTCCCACCGTGGTCGGCGGGGCAGCCCCTGGCCGAAATGCATCTGAACATGTACGCGAGCCGAGTTTACCGTCAGGTCCTCAGACTGTTTGATAATCACTTATCCAGACGACTTTCCCTGTTCAGCACGAATTGCTCCAAAAACACGTTGTCTGGGTGTTTAGCAAAAAAAGGATTTTAGTCCCCTTATTAAGAGGCTCCAACAATGTCTCCCAAGAAAACGGTCTTTGACTCGTTTGACTCGTTTGACTCTATGAGTTCAATGAGTTCCTCCGTTCGCACACTCTCGGTGCTCGATTTCAGGACACGGCCTCCGTCGGCTGGCTGAGCATCAGCCTAAGTCGCGCTGAACAGAGGCGGGTCCGCTCGTAGATGTGGAGAAAGAGCCCTTGATCACGTTCTGCAAAACAATACAAAACACATGTTACTATATAGTCTTGACGTTTCTTAGCTGTGAAACAGCTTGTCTCCCGCGTGGTACGATTCCTCATGCTGGGCAGCAGGCTCCGAACATACCTCAGCACATAAAGAAAGCAACGTCTTGCTGCCGCGCACAAGTTGCGTCGCGTTGAAACATGCTTGCGCGTCGGACCTGAATCGAAGTCGCTGGGGTGGACCTCCTCTCGCAGCTCCTTTTGCATCCAAATCGTGACCTCAAGAAATCAAGCCAACTCAAAGCAACAGACGCGTCTTTCCGGCGTTATCCGACTGTCTGACATGTGAGGATTGCGCTGCGCGATGATTCCAAGACGTTCCCCATACGAGGGTGCGGGGGGGTGCTGGGTTAGGCCCCTGGCCAACATCTCCATCATTTAGAGCTCACATTCGTTCGTTTCAGAAGCTACCTGTGTAAGCAGAGTTTCTTTAACCCGCCGCCTCTCAGACTGTCGTCTCCCCCCCCGGCGATCGCCATCATCTCTTCGTGCGAGAACCCATCACCACGCCCCGTTGTTTCCACGACCACGCCAGCGCAGCTGATGCTCCACCACTTCTGCTGAACGCTTCGGGCAAGCCCGAGACACGAACTGCCAGATCAATCCGAAGCGCCTGGTCGAAATCAACTCAGTCACCGTTCCGCCAAGTCATGGTTTTGACGGTGTGAAGCTCATCACGCCGAGGCCCACCCGGAAGGTCGTCCCAAGGGTTCTCTGGCGAGCCTCAACATGAGCAAGGTACCACGCGTCATCCCTTCGCGCCGTCTGCGACATGCGCGGTTCTCGGGGCGACAGGCCATCATCATTAATCGGGATCATCGAACCGGCCTTCAAAGTCGAAATCATCCCTGCCCTGACCTTTGGTTCCTCCTCGGCCCTCCAGCCACGCCTCCCGGAGCTCGAGTCCGCGTTGCTGTGACGGTGGCGCCGCTGGGGACAGAAGGGGATGCGATGATTGTCATCGCCACCATGGCGAACTTAGTTCCCATCGTGCACGTCATCGGACTATCGGCTGCGCCCCTCCATCGGCACACCGTGGGGCTGAAGCAGACGTCATCCTTGTGAGCGCCAGGGTGGAAAATGAGGGGCAACAAAAGAAAGACCGCGGACTGTGCTGATGAGCCGCACGGGGAAGCCCACCAATCCGTCCTGGGCTGACGTCTCTTCACCAACACGACGGCATTCGACGTGAGGGTCCACTCATCCGAGGCCGCGACGGATCCAAATGGCTCTGGCTCAAAAAACCGGTACCAAAATGGAACCCTGGCAAGTGGAAATATGGACCAAAACCTGCGTAACCCCCCGTGTTTAATTTTGAGCCACACCCAAATATTGAGCCAATAAGACTTTAAGGTTTCAGCCATTAACATTTTGAGATTGTTCAGGGTTTAATCCATTAAGGTGTTCAGCCAGTATTTCTTAAGGGTTTATGCAATGATGTTTTTCGGATGTTAAGCCGTTAAGACGTTCAGATTAAAAGTCGTTTGGTTTACGAATTCCGCCGACCCCTTCTCCTCAAAGGGGGAGGCGTACGGGAAGGGCGGTTACAAGTCCAAGGCTGGCTGGTAAATGAGCATATCCGAAGATTCAACATCATCATCATCATCATCATCGGCGTGGTGGTCGTCGCCGCTGTCCTTATCTTGATTATCATGATGACTGCTGGTGATGCTGAGGATGCGTCATGATGATTATCATGTCAGTTCATCATCATCATCATCATCACGGTGCTCATCATCATCAGCTTCTTCGTCATCGTCCTTGTCTGTTTTTATATACGTTTCAAGTGTCCCGTTCGACCCGATTCGAGATGCAGAAGATGCGCGGACATGATTATCATGATGACTGCTGGTGATGCTGAGGATGCGTCATGATGATTATCATGTCAGTTCATCATCATCATCAGCATTCATCATCACGGTGCTCATCATCATCATCTTCTTCGTCATCGTCCTTATCTTTTTTTATATACGTTTCAAGTGTCCCGTTAGACCCGATTGAGATGCAGAAGATGCGTGGACATGATTATCATGATGACTGCTGGTGATGCTGAGGATGCGTCATGATGATTATCATGTCAATTCATCATCATGCTTATCATCATCATCATCTTCTTCGTCATCGTCCTTAAATCTTTTTATTTACGTTTCAAGTGTCCCGTTAGACCCGATTTGAGATGCAGAAGATGCGCGGACATGATTATCATGATGACTGCTGGTGATGCTGAGGATGCGTCATGATGATTGTCATGTCAATTGGTGTTCATCATCATCATCTTCTTCGTCATCGTCCTTATCTTTTTTTATTTACGTTTCAAGTGTCCCGGTAGACCCGATTTGAGATGCAGAAGATGCGTGGACATGATTATCATGATGACTGCTGGTGATGCTGAGGATGCGTCATCATGATTATCATGTCAGTTCATCATCATCATCATCACGGTGCTTATCATCATTAAATCTTTTTATCTACGTTTCAAGTGTCCCAATAGACCCGATTTGAGATGCAGAAGATGCGCGGACATGATTATCATGATGACTGCTGGTGATGCTGAGGATGCGTCATGATGATTATCATGTCAGTCGGTGTTCATCATCATCATCCTTATCTTTTTTATATACGTTTCGAGTGTCCCGCTAGACCCGGTTTGAGATGCAGAAGATGCGCGGACATGATTATCATGATGACTGCTGGTGATGCTGAGGATGCGTCATGATGATTATCATGTCAGTTCATCATCATCATCATCATCATCACGGTGCTCATCATCATCAGCTTCTTCGTCATCGTCCTCATCTTATTTTTTATGTACGTTTCAAGTGTCCCGTTAGACCCAATTTGAGATGCAGAAGATGCGCGGACATGATTATCATGATGACTGCTGGTGATGCTGAGGATGCGTCATGATGATTATCATGTCAGTTCATCATCATCATCAATCAGCATTGTCATCACGGTGCTCATCATCATCATCTTCTTCGTCATCGTCCTTATCTTTTTTTATATACGTTTCAAGTGTCCCGTTAGACCCGATTTGAGATGCAGAAGATGCGTGGACATGATTATCATGATGACTGCTGGTGATGCTGAGGATGCGTCATCATGATTATCATGTCAGTTCATCATCATCATCATCATCATCATCCTCATCCTGATCATCACTATCATCATGGTTATTATCATCTCTTACTAGCCGGCACTGGTGATGCCGAGGATGTCATCATCATCTCTTATTAGGCAGCACTGGTGATGCAAAGGGTGTTACGATGATAGTTATCATCATAATCATCATCATGATCATGCTACGACGATACTTATCATCACAGTCCTCATCCTTATCATCACTATCTTCATGGTTATTATCATCTCTACTAGCCGGCACTGGTGATGCCGAGGATGTCATCATCATCTCTTATTAGGCAGCACTGGTGATGCAAAGGGTGTTACGATGATAGTTATCATCATAATCATCATCATGATCATCCTTATTATGATGTCATCGCTCTTCTCATCATCATCATGATGATCATCATCATCTCATTCTTGTTCTTATTCTTATATGCATTTCAAAAGTAACGTTAGACCCTATTGGCAATGCAGAGGATGCTACGGCGATACTTATCATCACAGCCCCCATCCTTATCATCACTATCATCATGGTTAATATCATCTCTTACTAGCCGGCACTGGTGATGCCGAGGATGTCATCATCATCTCTTATTAGGCAGCACTGGTGATGCAAAGGGTGTTACGATGATAGTTATCATCATAATCATCATCATGATCATCCTTATTATGATGTCATCGCTCTTCTCATCATCATCATGATAATCATCATCATCTCATTCTTGTTCCTATTCTTATTCTTATATGCATTTCAAAAGTAACGTTAGACCCCATTGGTAATGCAGAGGATGCTACGATGATAGTTATCATCACAGTCCTCATCCTTATCATCACTATCATCATGGTCATCATCATCTCTTGTTAGCCGGCACTGATGATGCCGAGGATGCTACGATGATAGTTATCATCACAGTCCTCATCCTTGTCATCATTATCATCACGGTCATCATTAGGCAGCACTGGTGATGCAAAGGGTGTTACGATGATAGTTATCATCATAATCATCATCATGATCATCCTTATTATGATGTCATCGCTCTTCTCATCATCATCATGATGCTCATCATCATCTCATTCTTGTTCAAGGGCTGCCGCCCAGTGCCGCCGACCCCTGGATTTAGTTGTGGTTTTCGAGCAACCAAAAACACTGCCCTTGGTTTTGGTTTCTTTGGTTTCTTGCGAATGATGCGTAGTGATGATTATCATCAAGGCAGGACTCCAAATCTCAATGACCCAAATGGCATCTGAGGCGAGGTGCCGTTTCGACAGTGATGCGTAGTCATGATTATGATCATCGCTGCTGGAGATGCTGGGGATGCGTAGTGATGATTATCCTCATGATTGCCAGAGATGCTGCGAATGATGCGTAGTGATGATTATCATCAAGGCAGGACTCCAAATCTCAATGACCCAAATGGCATCTGAGGCGAGGTGCCGTTTCGACAGTGATGCGTAGTCATGATTATGATCATCGCTGCTGGAGATGCTGGGGATGCGTAGTGATGATTATCCTCATGATTGCCACAGATGCTGCGAATGATGCGTAGTGATGATTATCATCAAGGCAGGACTCCAAATCTCAATGACACAAATGGCATCTGAGGCGAGGTGCCGTTTCGATAGTGATGCGTAGTCATGATCATCGCTAGGCACCCTTGGTAATGCAGAGGATGCTACGATGATAGTGATCATGACAGGGATCATTTGTTGCCCAGCAAGTCACAGTCCCTGTTCGTGTCTTCAAAAATGCAAACAAAACCCTGAAATACAAGATTAGCCTTTTGGGGCCACTAACATTTCACCCAAAAGAAACCAAAGAAACCAAAACCAAGCATTGTTTTTTGTGGCTCCAAAACCACAACTAAATCCAGGGGTCGGCGGCACTGGGCGGCAGCCCTTAAATAAGTCATTGCAATGGTGAGACTTTAAGCCATTAAGACCATTCATGTTTGAAGATGTTCAGCCATTCAGACTGTGAGATTTTGAGCCATTCAGAGTTGCAGAGTCTCAGCCACTCTGCTTCTATCATCTTAAGTGGCTTAAGGGGCTTGAGCGAATAGCTGTTGCTGTTTGTGGTGCGCGGGTGCAGTCTGCCCAAATGCTCGCACACGTGTCAATATGATCTCATAAAGTCATATGCATGCACTAGTTCGACTAGTTGCTAGTTTCTGGTCTGTGCCGGCCTGACTCTTGGTGAGCAGCTGCTGCTGCATTAAGCCAACGTCTGCGAACCTTATCTGCAACCTATCTGCCCGAAACGATCTCAGCCAGCTCAACATTCGCGTCCCATGGCCCGGGGCACGTCGTTCACAGCCAAAATGGCGGAGCCAACCGTGACCTGACTTGGCTTGGCTTATGGGCTTCGATGGCTTTGATGGCTTCGATGGCTTCGATTGTGAGCGCGCTGAGGGCTTCGCCAGTGGCCTTGCAAAGCGAATCGCTCGACGCACGACGGTATTCGGCCACGGGTAATCTGTCTCGGTCCCCCAATTAAAAACAAAGGAAGTATTGGGAAGCCACGGAAGTGTAAAATCCTCCAAAGGTCAGGATGGACCTTGGCACGCATCGCAAGGCAACAAGGAGCTGCGTGTGCGAGCGCAAAGAATTGGCTGAATTGGATTTGCGCGCAAGCACAACGGCTCGATTGGTGCAATGCTGCATGTTGCTTCTGCTGTCCATGTCTCGGCGCAATCCTACGCGGTGCAAGCGGCCCCAAAACTGCCTGGCAAAACGAAGGAGCAAAGAGCTCTGGGGACGCATGGCACTGAAATCCCTTCACCTTCAGGGCTATCAAGCCAATCTAAAATGACTCCTGAACAGAAGCCACAACACAATTGCCCACGCCGACTGTCTGGAAGCGAGACAAACTACATTTGGAAGGTGCCTGGGAAAGTGAAGAAACCAACCTAACTTCAATTGGGTTCACGAATATCAGGGGGGCGGCAACTCCTACGACCGCACCTTGGTTTCTCTGTGCTTTCAGCTTCTCCGAGCGCTTCCTCCACCAGCTCCTCGGCCGAGCCAAGGCGCTTTTGCGGCTTCTGCTTTTCGGGCTTTTATCATGTTTGTTTCTTTCATGTTATGTTCGTTCTTTGCGGTCAAATCCTCTGCGGATGGCTCCAGAGATCGGCAGTTCCACGCGTGGAGCAGTGAGCCCTGCCGGACATCCTGAGCCCAACGCCGAACGCCGAGCCGAACCGAGCCCCGGGGCCTCCACGACCAGGCACTCCAAACCGTCAGAGCCTCCGATTTCTCAACTCAACTCGGACTCGAGATGTCATGTCCCAACTTGGCCAAAGAGCTTGGCCGAAACCCGAGGCCAAAGAGCTCATCACCGCCTTTGGACAGCTCCACCTCGCGCATCGCGCATCGCCGCGCATCGCCGCGCATCGCCGCGCATCGCCGCGCATCGCACGGTGGAGCCACTCAGCTCCTGCCTTCATGCACCGCATCGCCTCAGGATGCTTCATCTGATGCCTCAAAGCTCAAGCGAAAGCTGAAGCTCCGAAGCTCCAAAATGCCACGCTCTCGAATGTCTCAAATCGCATGTTGAGACATATACATGTGAATGATCTGTGCAAGTTTTCTACTCAGATGTTCTATGATCCATGCATGTTGTCCTTCCTGCACATCATCTGTGAGCATGGCCGGCACAAGCTGCTATTTGGCTGCTGTTTGGTCTACTGTTCCACATTGGGAACACCCCAATGTAAGGCTTATGCACTTTGGCCTCAGTGTTTCTGGCTGGTGCTTAGTTGTTTGCCGAGCCGCAAACTCTGTAAATCTGCTTCGGTTACCGCCCGGATTCAGTCTTACCTTGCAGTGACTATCTCTTTGGGGGTGGGACCCTCGTCTTTGGTACATGGCGGCCGCCGTCACTGCGCAGGAGCCGCAAATCAACATCTCCACCGTGGCCAGGTACAGGACCTGAGCCCGATGGCCCGACGTATCCACAGATCCAGACTCAGAGCCGTTCCGTTCGTCCCCGGCAATGGGAGAGTCCTCCTTGAAGCGGAGCCACTCGTCAGACGACTGGCGCAATCTGCCATGCGCTTGCCTCCCGTGCCTTCCCACCTCCAAACGCTCGAGGTCTGAGAGCGTTTTTGTCCTCACCAGGCCTTACAATTCATCACGGAAGGAAACAGCTGGCAGTTTCAGGTCCCCACAAAGGATGGTTACTGCAATCATGGCCACCAACGCAACTTTCATCATCACCTGTGCCATTCATTCGCGCAGGCGAAAGGCTGACAAGTGTCTGATTCCGACCTGGCCAAATACCACGTTCACGTTCTGGCGCTTGTCGACCTCCTCGCCCTCCTCCTTTGAGAAATGCGAAATGCGGGAAATGAAAAGCGTGTTGATGCTTGCAGGGTCGCCTGCTCACGCAAACAAATTTTTGGTGCCGCATTGGTTCTTCAGCCGGACAACCCCAGAAGGGTGCACTTATTCAATTGGTCAATCCGGCCTGCCCAGTTCCAGACCATCTTTGCGAGAGGGTCTAGGGGCAAGGGACTTCTCAGGTGCCAACTTGTTACAGCTAAAGAAAAACAGGGGCGCGAAAGGAATTTGCATTGGAACACCATCCAGCGTCCCGGATTTCGCGAATCTCATGCTAAATCGTTGGCCTGAGTGATGAAAAGCCCCCTGTCACAAAGGCTGTCTCAGGAATCGCCTGGCACACAAACATTAGAGTTGCACCAAAAAGACATCAGGAGACATCAGGGGCAATACGAGGCGTTGCGTTCAGTTTTAACGCGGGCTTAGGCGCGGCGCACGGCGCACGCGTCCGAACTCTTTCGTCGCCTGCCCCAGGCTCTGGTAGCGGCTCCGCTTGAAGCAGCGCAACGACTGGACCACCTGACGACTTCGACTTCGAATCCGCAGCTTCAGAGTTTCAACGAGTTTCATAGCGACCCAACTTTCCCAACTCTCCGAGTGCAACGAAACGGAATCAGAGTTTCGGATTCGACACTTTGGCCCAGGCCGCATGGCAACACGGGATCTGGCGGAGGTGCAACGCGGCCAGGTGCTTCAGTCGCCTTTCAGATTCGCAGATTTGAGCCAAAGGCCTTCTCAGGCTCACCTTCGCCAAAGGCTTGCCATGGCAGTTCCATCACTTGCTTACTTCCTGTATCTGCTTTACTCTGCACATCTCATCTCTTCCCTGCACTTCATTGCGGAAAGCTTCGTCCGACAAGCCGCTGAGTCAAATTGAGCCTGCAGCGAGTGCCTTTGCCAATGCTCGCAAGCCCGAATGAGATCCCGGAATGCGTCTCTCTTCGCTTTTTCCATGCTGGTCTTCAGCACGCGTGCACGTCTCTAAATGCACTAGTACAATTTGTACACGTTACAATTGTGGCTCAAGCCTTCACCACTCTGGCTCATCTTAACCTGACAAAATCGCGTCAAGGTCCAAGTTAGTGTTGTGTGTCTACAGCTGCAAGCTACCTTGTGCAATATGTTCATACAAAAGCAGCGGGTGCTCGGTTGCGAAGCACAAGTCTCACAGAACAACATCACAAGTCCAGCGAATATGAATAGGCAAAGTCACGACAAAAGAGTCAGCAAGAGACAGAAGCAGCCGAGCAAGCACTGGGTGACACGAAAAGAGGTTGCGACAAAGTGCAGAGGATCAACGGACAGCATGCAATGCCTAAAGAATGCAACACAAAGAGATGATTGTCCGGTTGCCTACGCTCATGTGGGGCGTCAACAACTTGGCTTTTTGGCCAGCAAGTGGATGCAAATCGTTTAGCGGAGTTACTTCATGTCGAGCTGCCAGGTTTGGCGTATCGTGCAAGCACCTGTTTCTAGCACACCTGTCAACGACGCACTCCGAAACCTAGGCACGAAGAAATGCGGACATGCTTGACAGCGGGCTGGAAATCGCATGGGCAACGTCAAGTCACTTGCAAGTTGGACCGTTTGAAGTTTCCATCTGAATAGCTTCATTCCCCCCTCACGCAGCCCAGGTTGTCCAGGAGTGCATTTGGAATCGGCAAGCTTGCAATGCTCCTGCGCCGTTCAGCGGGTCTTCATCAATACAACTCAAAAAAAAAGAAAGGCTGAAATCTTCGGCTGAAATTATTTCTCATCCGAAAGGAGAGAATTCCCTGCCACATCGATCTTGCGGCAAGAGTCGGATTTTTACGATCGAGTCAAGGCTCGAGCGTCTCGGAAACCGCAACCGTCAAAGGGGCTAAGGGAGCCTGGCGGCTGGGCCCGCATTCCATTCAAGTCACTCATCAAATTTCATTCATACTCGTATTCAACATCATTCAACTCATTCCATCCATTCCTTGTCAACTTGTCAACTCGTTCAACTCAAGAACACACCGAAGAGCCTAAGTGCACCGGGAGATTGAATCGCGACCAAAGCATTCGTCCCTTGCGCGTAGCAAAGTTACCAAAGCGGTTGTAAACGGCTTGCATCCGTTCGGCACGCTATCGACGAAGGCCGCCCAAGGATTAAACAACCTGTGCAGTGCAAGATTCCTCGGACATGGCTGGAAGCTGAAGGCTGCCAGATTGAGACAATACTGCTGTCAAATGGAAAATATGGGAAGACCTGCACGACTTGCACGACTTGGACGATTAGGAGGGGAAACTCTCTGTACAAGGTCAGAAATGGTGGAGATGAGACACCGTGAACTGCCCCAAGTGTGTTGAGAATTGGAAACAAGGGCAGAAACAATAGGGCTTTCATGCCTCTCTCCAACAGGACAGCCGGCCCAATCTGTCACCGACAGGAAAAAGTACACCTCAAGATACGGCTCCGCGCCGAATGGTCTGAAGCGGCCCAATTCCAAGGCAGGCTACCTGACTAGAGAGGTTCCAATTCAGTCTGGAGACAGAGCACCGGAAAGAGAGGGAGATACAGTCGCACATACAATAGCGAGAAAGAGAAGCGAAAAAACGAAACACAAATTACACGAAATACACGAAATACACGAAATACACGAAAAGTGAAAAGGGAAGACCGAGAGGAAGGACGTGGAAGGACCATGTTTCTAAAGAGAGACAACAAATGGGTTGAAATTCAACACGAAGCGCGCTGCTTTGGACCGCTTCTAGTTGGATTTTCTCGCTTTATCCTATCTCTATTCACTCTCCCGGTCCTGCTATCCAACTGTCTGATTCTATGCGGCTCGAGCAAGCTCGAAAGCGCCAACCACTGAGGCGATTCGGATCCAAAGGTTCACCGTGAACGCTTTCGTGGCTTTTCAAGTGCGTCCTACGTGAAAGAAAAAGACAGTCGCAAGACAGTCGCATATTCCCATTCGGCTCTCTCTCACAAAGATGATGCCGTGTCCGCTTCCCGAATCCGAACCCATGCCCGAGTCGGGGATGCCAAGGCGCAGTTCCAAGGGGCCCACCAGGTGCTTTATCTCAAGTCCTGAATACAACTGTCTTGATGAGAATTTCTTTGGATCTTCTTCTTCTTGCCTTTTCCATTCCTCTCGATCCTTTGCATTTGCTTCGGCCTTCTTGTCTTCTTGTCTTCTTGTCTTCTTGTCTTGTTTTCTTGTCTTCCTGTCCTCCGACGGACCCGAAGTCGAGCAGCTCGGGCTCCGAGATCCTGACGGTCACCGAAACAAAGCGAAGCTTCCAACGGCTGACCTTTTGTTTTCCGTTTTCCCACGAAGGCCGTGAGGTGTGCGTTCAACCAGCACTGCCAATGCACCCGGGCCACCTGACTCTACCAGGTTAGTCATTTGTTTGGGTACAGCACCTAACCCACAGAAAGAGGGCTGACACTAAATCGGAGACAAAACATTGCAGGCGGAGAAATGAGCCAATGTTCTTGCGCTGGCCCCGACGCGTCAAGTCGCATGTCCGATTCCGACATCTCCGGCTCCAGTCTTTTTCTTCGCCGGGCGCTCGCAAGCGCGAGTCGGGGAAGTTGGTTCGCTCCCTGAACCAATCCCGGTCTTCTCGCGACCGAAACCCATGGAATTGACGGCGACACGTAGGGCTGGGGATTTCACGCGTGGCTTCCACGTGGCCAGAATGCTTGGTGTCGGCTTGAGAGTTTCAAAGAAACGAGCCATCGCCGATTGGTTCTTGGCTCACACGCAAATGAGATCGTGTCGCGCAGTGTCTGAACGCTAACAACGCTAACACAGAAACCGAGCCACGTAGGACTCCTAGCCATTGCCGTTGCTGCCATTGCTCGACTCGAATACCTCAATCGAGCTGCCTTGACTCGAGCTCTTGGAAGCTCTCCCGCAAGCGCCGAGCCAGGAGGCCCGTGCTGCGTCGCCAGGCCTCCTGAGACACGCATGCGATTGGCGGAAATATTGAAAAGCCCACATGGAAATTCGAAATAAGCGCACGCCGGCCCAGAGCTCATGGGCTTTCGGATACTTGAAACGGAGTCACAGCTGTGAGTTGATTTGGATCTGGCCGAATGCATCGAAACATTGCGATAACTCGAACCAATCGAAGGGGGAAAGCCGAAAAAAACAAGAAGAAAGGAAAGGAAGAAGAAGGAAGAAAGGAAGACGAGAAGGAAAGAGAAAGGAAAGATGAAAGAGGAAAGAGAAAAAGCGGAAGAAGCTTCAGCTCCGCCTTTGGGAAGTCTCTTTCAGTCTTCGCTGCCCTGGTTGCCCGCGCCAATTCCAAGCCAAGCTCGTTCCGAGTTCCGCATGCATTCGTTGAACTCTGAAGTCTTTTCTCGTCTTTTCTCGTCTTCTCTCGTCTTCGAGTTCGAGTCTTTTCGAGTGAGTTCGAGTTCGAGCCCTAGGGTTTTCGGTTCTCTCACCTGGTGCTCTTCTCAATCAATTCACTCTTCCTATTCTTTCTTGCTCTCCAAAAACCTCTTGTGACGCGTCCTGAGTCTCCAAGCGATCGAAGAGCTGCTCATCTGTCTGCGGATCTGCCTAACTGCGTGGAGAAAACCCCTGCTCATTGGTGGGCAAAGCGCAAAGCGCAAAGCGCAAAGCGCAAAGCGCAAAGCGCAAAGCGCAAAGCGCAAAGCGCAAAGCGCAAAGCGCAAAGCGCAAAGCGCAAAGCGCAAAGCGCAAAGCGCAAAGCGACAATCAATGTCGGTGCAACGCTGCCTTGAGCAACTCTAATCCTGCATCATTCATGCAAACGCTCAAGCAGCAAATCCGGCCATTGAGACGCATAGCTCAATTCATAACTAGAGCGGTGCATTTAAAAATCAAATCTCACCAACTGAACCACATGCTTCAAGGGCACTGTTCAAGCAAAAAAGAATGCTGGAAATTGCAAATAGGGGCTGGTGACTCTGCCAAATCCTGGGAAACTGTTGCTTATCGTTCTGCTCAATTTGTTTCTCGTTGCTTACTCATTTGACAAGGAAAGAACAAAACTATGTGAGAAAATTCTGAAGGTTTACATCACATGTTTGCGCTCATTGCGTTTTCAAAAGCACTACACAATAGGGCCTATGTAGCGTCCCTTGCTAATTTATTCAAGGGTTGCGGGCCGCGTACTCAAGCGAATGGTTGAGATCTGCCCAGGCGCCGCTTCATCCTGCTTCGCAGCGGATCTCACGATGTAGCGAAAGGCTCCGAGCTCCTGAGCTGCGCTGCTTCTCTCGGCTGACTCTCGGCTGACTCTCGGTTGTCTGAGCCGGCGGCTGGGCACCTGGAATTCTGCACAAAGAGGTTGGCCATGCAACAGCCATTTCGCAGCCAACGCAGGAACTCGCTGTGGAGCTCATGGGCATTGGGACGCCTCAACTTCACTCAAGCACTCAAGGGAAAGCCACGCAAGCGAGGCGCTTTTCCAGATTCACGCGAGGCACAAGTCCAGGCACAGGCCTGGCGCTTGCGCGACCTTGATGATCATACGCTGCCTTGAGCGCGAACTGATGGGGCAATGGTTGTGAGATCTATGTCATGTTTTGAACAAGGGGTACAGGAATTTGGGGATTGATGTGAAGCAACCTCCGAGCAAAAGGCTGAAAAACCAACAGCGAGGCGCAGTTGCGTACGGCCGAAACCCAACGCGTACAACTGGCGACAATGCTTCCCATCCGAACAAGCCCATTGCCACGAGTGTCGCTGAGACAGAGACATGTCGACGTGGCCGAGGCGCTTCGCGTCTTCTTCGGATGGACAGAGGTTGTGAAGCACATCGGCCACAGAGTTCTCCATCACTTCCACCTCACACAAACCGGGCGTGAGATTGACTTGCACAAGTCCACATAAGTGTCCACGTAAGTCGTGAAAACACTGAGATTGGCCTCACCCCAACTTCCTCTCCCCGCAAGTAAAACTCATTCCTTCCCTGCCCTGAGGCCCGCACCAAGGTCTCGGCGCAAAGCAAGTCCACAAGGCGCCCGAAACGCAGGAGCCGGCCACACTCGCGGCGCAGTTTGGACCGCTGCGCAAAACCTACGTCCTGGCAACTCCAAATCTAGTTTCGCCTCAGAATAGACGTCTTCTTTCAACAATGTGACTGACTCGGCTGGAAAAGAGCATTAACCGCCTGTCCTTGCAAAATCCCAAGTGCTCCAAGGCCTCCCCATCTTCCTTCGGCATCCCCGCGCGGATCACCGCAGGCCGAAGCACCTCTCTCTCTTCTCTCTCTCTCTCTCTCTCTCTTTCTCTTTTTTTCTCCCTTCCCCGTCTCTGTTTCTCTCTCTCCCTCTTTCTCACTCTCTCTCTCCCCTCTCTCCCCATTAGCACCTGAAGCTATGAGCGTCAGTTGCGATATGCTTCTTGATGTGCAAACAAACCCAACAAAGAAGCAACGGATGAAAAATACTACATGAAATTCATAAGACGAAATATCTTTGACGCATATCAACTTTAAGATTTTGCTGACAACACGACTTGTAATTCAAGAAAAATCATAAAGCAACAAGTTTTAACCAGCTCATTATCTTCAACCATTCTCTGGCTCCCTGTCTGTTTCCTTCCCTCTGTCTCTTTCTCTTTCTCTCTCTCTTTCTCTTTCTGTTTCTGTTTCTCTTTCTCTTTCTCTTTCTCTCTATCTTTATCTCTATCTCTATCTCTATCTCTCTTGTTTCGCCACCTCTCTAGATTTTATCTCAGCGTCGACGGGGCTGGACTCTTCGCAGGGCTGCCTGCGGAATGTGCTGCGATTGACTTTTGGAAGAACCAAACTTTTCGGAAGGCCTGCCTTTTCCAGGGGCCTACTTAATCTCACTCTATCTATCGATCTGTCTCTTTTCTACCTATCTATCTACTCTATCTTTCTCTCTCTCTCTCTCTCCCTATCTATCTGTCTATCTGTCTGTCTGTCTATCTACCTTCTATTTATCCATCTATCTATCTATCTATCTCTCTCCCTCTATCTGTCTATCAAAATGTCTACAGATCTGCGCATCCTATTTCTTTTTAGTTGTCTATTTCTCAAGTTCTCTCTCGCTCTCTCTCTCTCTCGCCATCTGCCTATCTATCTATCCATCCGTCTATCTATCTATCGCTCAATGCCTCTATCTTTCCATCTATCTACCTCTGTCTCTGTCTTGCCAGCTGGCTTAGCTATCTATTTGTCTATCCATCTATCTATCTGCCTATCTATCTATCTATCCATCTGTCTATCTACCTTCTATTTGCCCATCTCTCTATCTACCTGTTTAAGCTTCTTTGCTGCTGTTTATTTGCTGCGGCGCGAATTAAATGGCAGGCTCAAGCTTCTTCATCGGCGCTAAGAACGGCAAGTACCGCAACGAATATCCGGTTTCTGATTTGGACACCAGGGGTTGTCGGTCTTCCGAGCCAACCGGAATGGACACGAGTTCATCCTGAAGAAAGGTGCGTGGGAAGGCTCCCACACTACGTCAACGACAACATTGTTGCTGAGGACACCAGTGTTGCTCCTGCTGCTGAACTGCTATAGTCTCAGCGAGGCATCGGCCCGCGGTTCTCTGACCAGCAGAAGAGCTAATCGAAAAGCTTGACGCACGGGAGCTGGGCCCAATGAAGGAAAAGGTTTGCGCTTAGATGCGTTTTGCAGCATGGAAAGTTCGACTCTGCAGACAACAGCCGGCTCTTCTGACCCTCAGCGGTTGTCTTCTGGCGCTGTCGGTGATCTATGTGTTTTTTGCTTTTTGTTGTGTTGTGTCTAGCTCTGTGGAAGGGCGCCGCTTTGGGTCTCCAGATCTTTGGCGGAGTTCGTAGTTGTAGCTTTGGCTTTGCCAAAGAAGCGCTTAGTCGCGGCGGTGTTGTCTTTGTTGTCACCCGGTGTAGTTTCTCCAGTCCAGTCATCGCCTTCGAGTCTTCTTTGTAGCTCATGTTGGGAAAGTTGTTTGGTGTTCTCCCTCTGGTTGCTCTTGTTCCTGTCTTCGTTTGTTGATGATTGTCAGTTGCCAATCATCTTGCTGTTCTTGTGGCACAACTGCTGTTGTGTGAGGTTAAGAGCGCTTTGCGTGGTCGTGTTGCCAGTCGTCAGCTTTTCCACCAAGGATTCGTCTTAGTCCTTGGTCTGTGTGTGTGAGTGGTGCAATTGTTCTTGCTGTTGTTGTCGTGTTTTCTCTGTAGGCTGCATCGCGAGTTCCCTTGTCTGTAGTCATTGGGTAGATGTCGTGTTCTGTAGGGATGTTGACCTTTCCTGCTTGCAAGTAGAAAAGCCCTCCATGTCTGATTCAGTGCGCTTGATGCTGTCCGCGTGTGATGGCGCAATGTCGTGGGTTGAAATCAAGTCCATACATATCCTCTATCAAGTAGTCTTGCTGCACGAGAATAGGACACTTCACAGCACAAACGTTGTAGCGTCATGACCCTGAAGTTGTCCTGCTCGCGGGGAACATACTTGATGCCGATCTTCTTGTTGGTCGCGGTGTAAGAGTTTCGGAACTGATTCTCCACAAGGTCGTCGTGATAGATTCAGCACGTAGTCCTTTGCGCACGCGTAGACGCCCGCACCCCAAAGCGGGGCGTGTTCTTCGACGTTGACTTCACGACGATACTTTCCTGCGGCTCGCCTGGCCGCTGGGCACAAGACTGCAAAGTCCCGCTGCGGCACAAGGAGAAAGGAGATGAACACCTGAGCAAGAACAAGGAGCTCAGGACAACGATGAGGAACTATCTCAGAACATGAAGGACGCTTGGGATTGGTACCATGAAGGAGAAGAAGGACATGGCTTGATGGAGGCACCATGAAAGAGACCTGGAAAGTCTCTGGCTGGAGTGACAACAGCTGGGGTTGGAACGACAACGGCTACGAAGACGCAGCAAACTACATTGGAGTCATCAACGAATCACACCGCAAACCCATTGAAAAAGCGCATCACACACAACATCATGGAACGACCGCAGCAAGAACTTCGAGCAGTATTCATAAGGGGACACAGCAGGATAAGAGCAGAAACTTCGGAAAATTGCTGACAACAAGCACTACATAAGTTTGCTTGGCCTCGGTGATCGCGGCGTGTCATGTAGCTGCTGTTTCCTTTTCTTTTTGACTTGCCGTAGTTTCCTTAGCCTCTGTAGCCTTTGCTTGATCCGTAGCCTTTGGATCCTCCGTGGCATTTGCCTTTGCCTTTGGTAAACCCTGCGCGATGACCTGTTGCGTCTTGAGAAAGCTGAAGCTGTTTTTATAGTAGTCATGGACGACCCCTCTGATCTCGGTGTAGTTTGTGATCTGTCCAGCGCGAAGTTGAAAATGTGGTGTAGCGCTCCTTCAGTCTTGAGCAGTGTTGCAATCTTCACTTCATGTAGTAGTGATGCACCGTTGTCTCGCTCGCAGCGGTTGATGTTGCAGGAATTATTCCTCAAACTGCGCGTCGTTGAATGTAGGTTCAGGTAGCAAACGGTTCGCAGCAGGATTGTCGTACTACTGTAGCTGCTCCTTGACATATGTTGGCAAGAATGTCGCGTAGACCTCTTGCGATGTCTACTGCTTTCGTTGCCTGTGCGGCGCCGCGTTTGTGTGCTCTGATGTCGGCATCCTCAGTTTGTGGCCCAGCCACTTGCGCTAGTTGTAGTACTAGGTCGAAGTCTCGGTCTATGAGTCCGAGGTAGGCTTGCAATTTGAACAGCCACTCCTCATACTGTGAACACTCACCATTGCAGAATGGCGGTGGCAGTTGGTGCGTGTGTAGTCTTTGGTTGTTCTCTTGCGCTTGCGCTTCTGTTCCAGTCGCGCCGCCTACTGCCTCTGCTGCTGTTGTTGGCCAGCTGTCCGCTCCTGCGGCACGCTGAGCTGGTGCTGCTGGTCGTAGTAGTTTGGCGCGCGATTGCCTTGGAGTTGTTGTTGTACTTACTGCTGTGCGCTGGAGCTCCGCTCCAGTATGCTCCAGTCAATGACTACGAGTGCAAGCGCTGTAGGTGGTGTTCTCGCAAACAGTGTCTGCCTCGTACTTGTTTTGCTATGGGCTCGCACGTAGTGAAAGAATCCGCCGACCCTTTCTCTTAAAAGGGGAGGCACACGGGAAGGGTGGTTGGCACATAAGTATAACCAAAGTTTCATCCTCATCAGCATCATCAGCTACGATGGTTGTTATCATCACAGTCATCGTCGTCATCATCATCCTTATCATCATTACCATCATAGTCATCATCATCTCTTATTCGGCAACATTAGGCATCCTTGGCAATGCAAAGGATGCAATGATGATAACTAGAGAATCAAGCAGAGATGCAGAGGATGTTGCGATGATAGTTGTCATGACGCGGGTGATAACGATCATCACGCCCGTGCCATTACCATCATGGTCGTCGTCATCTCTTATCAGGCAGCATTGGTGATGCAGAGGATGCTACGATGATAGTTATCATCACAGCCATTAGTGATGCCAAGGAGGCTACGATGATAGTTATCATCCTTGTCATCATCTTTATCATCATCTGATCACCACCTAGCATCATTTAATATCTTATTAAATATAGAAATCAAAAGGGACGTTAGACATCCTTGGCAATGCAAAGGATGCGACGATGATAGTTATCAAGGAACAAGTAGAGATGCAGAGGATGTTGCGATGATAGTTGTCATGACGCGGATGATAACGATCATCACGCCCGTGCCATTATCATCATGGTCGTCGTCATCTCTTATCAGGCAGCATTGGTGATGCAGAGGATGCTACGATGATAGTTATCATCACAGCCGTTAGTGATGCCAAGGATGCTACGATGATAGTTATCATCCTTGTCATCATCTTTATCATCATCTGATCATCACCTAGCATCATTTAATATCTTCTTATATTTAGAAATCAAAAGGGATCACGCCCGTGCCATTATCATCATGGTCGTCGTCATCTTTTATCAAGCAGCATTGGTGATGCAGAGGATGCTACGATGATAGTTATCATCGCAGCCATTAGCGATGCCAAGGATGCTACGATGATAGTTATCATCCTTGTCATCATCTTTATCATCATCTGATCATCACCCAGCATCATTTAATATCTCATTATATATAGAAATCAAAAGGGACGTTAGACATCCTTGGCAATGCAAAGGATGTGATGATGATAGATATCAAGGAACAACTAGAGACGCAGAGGATGTTGCGATGATAGTTGTCATGACTCGGACGATAACGATCATCACGCCCGTGCAATTATCATCATGGTCGTCGTCATCTCTTATCAGGCAGCATTGGTGATGCAGAGGATGCTACGATGACAGTTATCATCACAGCCGTTAGTGATGCCAAGGATGCTACGATGATAGTTATCATCCTTGTCATCATCTTTATCATCACCTGATCATCACCTAGCATGATTTAATATCTTATTGTATATAGAAATCAAAGGGGGCATTAGACATTCTTGGCGATGCAAAAGATGCGATGATGATAGTTATCAAGCAACAAGTAGAGATGCAGAGGGTGTTGTGATGATAGTTGTCATGACGCGGATGATAACGATCATCACGCCCGTGCCATTATCATCATGGTCGCCGTCATCTCTTATCAGGCAGCGTTGGTGATGCAGAGGATGCTGCGATGATAGTTATCATGACAGTCATCATCATCAGCATCATCCTTACCATGATCATGATGATGGTCCTCATCCTCATCGTCCTTCTCATCGTCATTATCTTGATGGTCATCATCATCTCTTTCTTGTTCTCTCACCCTTGTCATCATTATCATCATGGTCATCATCATCTCTTATTCGGCAGCGTCGCTGACGCAGAAGATGTCACGATGATAGTTATCATCACAGCCGTGAGTGATGCCAAGGATGCTACGATGATGGTTATCATCCTTGTCATCATCTTTATCATCATCTGATCATCACCTAGCGTCATCTAAGTGGGGGTGCTAATTGTAGCTGCTGCTCCCTGACATATGTGTATGAGAATGCAGCGTAGATCTGTTGCAAGGTCTACTGCTTTTTTGCTTGCGCAGGGTCGCGTATGTGCGCTCTGATCTGTGTGTCCTAAATTCGTCGAGTAGGTGCTTGTGCGAGTTGTAGCACCATGTCGGTCTATGAGTCCGAGGTACGCTTG